AGGAAGGGTTTCCCCCATAAGCATTAGCAAATGCAATATCTCATTCCCTCCTCTCAGGGAACAGAGGTTACATGAGTAACTAGAGAATTTTTTTTTATTAAAGGTAACAAAGTGCTCTTTGTAACTTTCAGGTTTATTACTGCCAGTGGTGGCTGGTGGAAAATTGTCTAGGTAGGGCAATTTTAGCATACATCCTAGTATGATTTATCCCAGTATAAAAAAAGGGAAAAATATTAAGACTTGAAAAATTTTAAATAAATATAATTTTTACCAAGTTCAAGATTAAGTTTGAGGATGATTCTCACAAAACGATATTTTCTGTAATAATTTTTCAAGATAAATTAAAACTGTTTTTTTTTTTTACATTTTCATAGTTCACAATTTATGTATAAAGTGCAACAGCAAAAACGGAGAAAAAAATAAATGTCGCATTTTCTATAACTACAAGTCAAGCTGCAATACCAAACAGGACCACATGGAGATGCCAACAGACCACTATACCAGTCGCCTTAACCTGACTATATTGAAATAAATACGGTTCCATTCAGAATTAGGGATGCACCGGTTGACCGGCCATAAATCGGAACCTTTTGTCTTTTTTTGGCCGAGGTTTCCGGAAGTGCGCCCCAGTGCACAGAGACTACACTGGAATCATTCGCGAACATGTCATCTATGTGGAAGTATTTCGAAATCTGTTTTCTTAATCCCGCTCCCGCTGAATTTCTGACCATTACCGCCCGCTCCTGAGATTTTTGTGTCCAGTCCCGACCGCTCCCGCAAACATACAGTATATGGCATATAATTTTCGAGCATCAGGGAGCCACTAGAAAACAAAACACATAGTAGCACCCTGGCAACCACCGACTTATTCCAATTTTCACACAAATATTTTACATTTTGAATAGGGCTGCACGATAAATCGCATGCAATATTTAACGCGCATCTTATCAGTAAAGCCGGTTCTGTAATCAGCGGTAAATCTCCCATCACGTGCGTGCTTTCACATTGAGTAGCATTAACTACACAGAGCCGTTGTTCACTGACGAGCTGCGCAAAACCACGTTCATATTTGCGCGATTTTTTGCGCAGCTCGTCAGTGAACAACGGCCCTAATTTTGAAGCTTAAATACAATCACCAGAAGTAACTTCATCAACAGTCACCCCTAAGCTTCCAACAACGTTTTATTTATTTAGGAAATATACAGGCGTGTATAAATGTTGTTTGTCGAGTATAAACACAACATTGGTGCAAAAGCGGACTATATTGAGTAGATAAGTTTTCCTGCTCTGTGTGAAGTTTACTCTCACTGACAACCTCTGAAGTCTCATTTAGCCATGTAGCAACTGCCTTTATGTAAATATATGTAAAAGCTTAAAAAAGTCATGAGTGGGGTATTACTAATGTATTTTATGTTGTGATAATGTCTTGTGCTTGTGTTAACAACAGTGTTTATTTCAGGCATTTTACCAAGAACCCGTTCAAAAAACCCATTGACTTCAGGAAAATGGAAAGGGAAGTTAAAAAATGGTAATTAGTTTCCAGGTTTTTGGACTTATTCCTGCAGCACTCTAATGGGAATTGCCATGTTGTTCTGGAAAATTTCCATATCAGATCCAGAGCTTCTGCGGTGAAGGCTCAGAACCAAAGTGAACTCGGAGTTCCTCAGACTCTGATCCATCAGACTTTTCATTGAGCCTCACTTTAGTCAGTTAGATCTGAATGGTCAGTAATGTAGTGTCGGTTTCCATAGGACTGTCCTGTTTGAGATGAGCTAACCGTGAGTTTGCCGCATGGATCGTCTGACTGTCAGCTGAACCTCCTCTGTGGTGTTCACATCTTTTTAACATGATGGAAATTCTTTCCTGTTACATGGAGATGCTGACATTCTGACTACATTTCCACTTTAGCATGGTTGTGAGTGTGTTTGAGCCGGGTCCACGGGCGTGTGTCATGACACCGATGTGGTGTGTTCTCACAGGCAGGTTTAATGCAGTCACACACAAGCCTTCAGCATGAGGTAAATGGCTCTGTTTGTTCAGGTGTGTCCGTTTTCTCATTCCCTTCTCTTCAAGGAGGACATCCCCTGCTCTTCCTCCTGCTTCTGTCTGCCTGTACCGTTGTCACCCACAGAACACATTCCGCAACTCTCCGACAAATAGGAGATGTGGAGGAAGTGTGTTCGATGTGTGTGTCCGCCACCATGTTTGTGTTTGATGTTGTACAGGTGAGCTGTCGGAGTGCTTGATTCAGCAGGAGAAAAGAAGCTCAGTAACTAGTGACACACAAGCTCCAACCGTGTACTCGCCAAACATGGGGCTCTATTACACACATGGATCTCAATACCTCCAGACACACGTACACAAAGTGAAACTCTCAGATGTGTTGGCAAACACTCACACATTTAAACTGTAAGGATTTTTTTCCCCTGCTCATCAGTCGCTCAGATTTGTGTTTGCTCTGCTAGTGTTTCATTGGCTGCACCATTGGAATGATTTCTTTTAGCAGCATATTTTTATATTACCTTTTTTATATATTTTTAATTTTACATTAAATGTTAAATTTTCTTCAATCTTTAACAATTTACCACTTTTATTTACAACAGTTTACTTTTTTAACCCTTTCTAGTCGATTTTTTCCAAGCTTTTTTTTTTAATTGCAAGAACGTTAACTTTTAGTGCTGTACAAAACTTAGTACACCCCATGAAAACTAGTGCTTTTTATTTTTTTATTTAAAAAAAAAAACACAATTATATTATTTAATTCAAATTTTATATATATATATACACACACACACATACAGTATATTTATGTATTTGTTAGTTGCTTGGATTTGTACTTGATCTGCCAATTTTCACTGGCTGCATCATATAATTTTTTTTAAGCAGCATATTTTTATATTTATAAATATTTTAGTTTTTACACTATTGAATTTTTTTTATTTTATTTTTTTTTTACTTCTTGTTTTTACTTCTTGTTTTACTTCATTCCAGCTTTTTCGAAGTTTTTTTTTTGTGAAAAAAATGTATACCCCATAAAATCTGTAGGGGTTTATTTTTCTTTTAAAATTATTTGTGCGAACACTTAAATCATTATAATTACATTGGGCGTACTGGCACAGACATTTAAAGGTAACTATGTTGCCTCGTGAGGTTTATTCGGACACTGTAATGCAAAAGCACATATTATATTCGTACAACAGGGCACTTCCAGTGCTTAGAACTAAAAGTAAAAAATATATGTGTTTATCTTTGACTGACTGGCATCTCTTATGTAAGAGTTGAGCTGTTAGATTGGTTTGAGTGATTGTTTGTGTGTTTGAATGCAACCCCTTTTTTCTTTATTTATTTACGTGCGTGTATGTTATGTGAGAGTGAAAAGAGCGCTCGCTTAGGCTCATCTGTGGAGTAGAATGGGTCTGTCTCTTTTTTCTTTGGAATTTGTGAGCGGCTTGATGTATTTGACATATGCGTGACAGGCCACTGCTCCTCAAGACTAGCCCACAAAACTGCACTGTCCAGACCAGCTCTGTGTGTGTGTGTGCATGGGATTGTGTTTGCACATCAGAGCAGCCAAGCGTTGCCACCGGCGGAAAAAAAATACACACAAATCCACTGGCCTTTTTTTAAATACCCATCGCTTCTGTCATGAGATAAATTTTGACACCAAGAATGAGTGTGTGTCAAGTTGTCAGTCTGTGTCAAGTTGTCAGTCTATCTCTCTCTCTTCCTTCTACGCATCTACTTTGTCTCATTCTCGCCCTTTTCCTCTGCCTTATTCTTCCCTTCTTTTTGTCTCTCTCAGGCCTTTAAGTCAAGTCTGTCCATGAATAGTGCATGTTATTTTGTTTTGTAGATTTCTCTTTGACAGTCTGCCTGTCCTTTTTCTTTTTGTTGTTTTGGTTTAACGGAAATAACCCGAAGAATCAAGTCCAGACCGGGCCTGAACCGAACCCCCCAGAGCAGCTTTTTCTCAAGAGTCTCCTTATGCCATTATTGCAAAACCTTCCAGTAACTTAAACAGTTATACAGCCCTATTTTCACTCACTAACACATCCACACACTCTCGCACGTGCACCCGTGTCCTTTCTTAAATCAGGACATAACCTTTTTAATGCCTTTACTTTAATGTTCTTAACAGGACATTATATTTTACTCTAAAAGTCAAGACCCATTTGGGCAAAGTCTAGCCGCTCGGCGCACTCACAAAAAACCCTTCCCATGTGAAAACACTGCCATTATTAACATGGCTGAAACTCGGTCTCCGTAAATGTCAGGGAATATAGGGCATATATATGGCCCTCTTTCTCCGTTAACGTCTCTGCTGTGTGTCTACGTTCTTAAGGGAACCGCATTGCTTGATGGGGGTATCGGGCACGGGTGCCGGATCGGGGTCACTGATATAACACCCCCCACCATCCCACCTGAGCGGGGTGAAAGAAAGCAGTCTCTCTTGCACCTGTGGTGAAGAAATAGAGGACGTGTATGTTGGAAACTGGACAGGAGTTTGTGCACTTGTGAAATTTATTTGGGTATTGGAGTTTTACGGTTGCTGTTGGATTTACAGGTTGGAATGGAATGCAGCCCAATGAAACGTTCTTTGATGGGGAGAGCAGGTTGAGTTTTAACAGACGAGCGACGCTTAGAAGGCCATAGTTTATGTGGCTTTGAGAAGACCCTCTGCTGCCTTCTAGAGCTGTAAAAACCTGAGATGCCCGTGAACAGGAGCGCTATGGGATGGCAGCAGAGGGTTCTGGGAAATGTGCTCTGACTGGGAAGTGATCCTTGTGAAAATGTGTGCATTTTTCCTCTTTTGGAGCTTTTCAATTTTGTAGATGTGTGAATAGAAATATAATAAAGCCCAGTATGGACTTTCCAATATGCTGCTTCATGAAAATACTGATTATGTCCTGAGAAAACTTTGAATATACACTGCTTTTTAAAGAATAAAAAAAATAAAATTCTTCATTTATTTGTAATTGTGGTTTTTGCCATCTCTACAGAGGCGGAGGCTTATACAGGAACTGGGAGAGCAGAGGATTCCCTACCTTTCTCCTGCAGACCCAGGATTTCAGGAACTGGTTAGAAATTCATACAAATCTCCACAATGCATCATAATTTGCGATCTGTATGTACTCTACTGTTCAAAAGGTTAGGTTCAGGGTTCAAAAGGTTATATATATATTTAGCACGGATCTATTAAATTGATTAAAAGTGACAGTAAAGACATTTATAATGGTACAAAAGGTTTCTATTTCAAATAAACTGTTGCTTTGAACTTTATATTCATCAAAGAATCCTGAAAAAAAAAAGTGTTTTGGTTTCCACAAAAATATTAGGCAGCACAACTGTTTTCAACATAATAAGAAATGTTTATTGGGCATCAAATCAGAATATTAGATCGATCTCTGAAGGATCATGTGATGCAGGCTATTGAAAATTTAGCTTTGTTGTCACAGGATTAAGTTACATTTCAAAGTAATAAAATAGAATATGTTTATTTAAAATTTAAATATTTCTAAATATCATATTTTACAATCAATGTCAAATAAATGCAGCATTGGTGCTGCAAGAGCTTAAGATACTTATTTCAAAACATAAAATCTTTCTGACCCCAAATTTTGGACAGTTGTGTATAATGTAAAGATTTCCATGGGTGTCCATAGTCGTAGAAAACCGCAAATCATAATTGGTGTTTTCCAGGTTTGGAAAAATCTGAAAGGTAAGTAATTTTGGCACCACTAGCATCAACAAACTGAACTGCAGAAACACACAGCTGTTTTAAACAAGTTTCATTCACTAAATGATACATTAGCAGGTCAATCTGAAGTTTAGAATGATTATTATTAACATTGTCCAGTAGTGCCAAACGAATGGAAAAAAAGTAATTAAAGTCTTGACCAGAAAGTATGGGGACTCCCGTAAAGATCAGGACAGACTTCTCACATACTGTGTTTTTTTGTTTTGTTTTTACTAATTGCATTGTTATGTTTGCTTGTGGCAGTGTGTAATCTGTGTGCAATCTTTGTGTAATCTGACAGTGGGACTCCAGTTATGCAGGACTGGCTTTACGACAGTCTAGTGCCCTGCCAGATGGTCTCCATGAGAGAGTGCAGTCTGCTTTGATAACTCTTCAGCGGTGTGGATGTCTCCTCCGAGATCTTGTCCGAGTCCGAGACCGGGACATCTTCACAGCCGTTTCGCGTGCTCTCGTGGGTCAGCCGGGCTACACATACCGTTATCTGAACACCCGTCTGTTCACCATCCCTTGGCACTGTGAGGGAGAAGAAGGCCAGAAAGATGAGAAAGAGAAACCTTGCTGTGACTCCGACCTGAGGGATGCTTGCAAAGCATTGTGGGAGCTCAATCAGTTCTTTTGCTCAGATGTGACGCAGCAGACAAATGCAAGAGGCGTCAAGCGTTCCCGCAGTGACACCGAAAACAGTGAAGACACACCAGGGGAGGGGATGTGCGAAGAGAGTGTTAAGGACAGGTTACTTGAGAAGAAGCAGGAGAAAGAGAAGAAGGAGGAAGAGGAAGAAGACAGCGGTCAGGGCTGCTCTCATTCCTCACCTCCTTCATCCACTCCGCCACCTGATGTGGCCAGCCTAGTTCAGTTTAACATGACCCTCATCAACTACATGGACCCCACAGCCATGACCCAGCTGAAGGAAGAGCCCTATTATGGAATGGGCAAGATGGCGGTCGGTTGGCATCATGACGAGAACCTGGTTCCTCTGTCACCAGTTGCTGTCTACAGCTATAGCTGCCCAGCGGAGCCAAAGAATAAAGGTGAGAGGTCTAATGTCTTGGGTAGAGCGTATAATATTGTATCAGATCCATGACCCCACAGGGCTCTAACACTGTGGTTCTGAGCCTCTTGACTCTAAGGCCTCACGTTGTCCAAGACAATATTCAAAGCCCTCCTGTCTAAGCTGATATGTACCTCTAGTAATTCTGTTGTAAGAAAACAAATCAACTTAAAAATATGATGGCAGTTTACTATTTACTGTACATCTTTATTTTAGTGGGTTTTTAGCATTTTTATTTAAGATTATAATTATTATACCTACATTTATGTAATTGTAGGACTTATTGGGACCTCTCTGGATGTTTGCCAAGGTCCGCTGGTGGACTTCAGAGAACAGGAAACAGGAAAATTATTATTTCATAACAATTAAATGTATTTATTTATTTATTGCATGCATTGTTTATTGAATGTACTTATTTGTATGAAAAGAAAATATCCCACTTCAAACATACCTTCCATAAAGAGTTGAAAAGTAAATTATTCAACTGCATTGCTTTTTTATTTTTGGACAAAAATTCAATTGTTAATAAATAATTATTGCTTATTTAAAAGCATATATTGTATAAAACATTATAGAATTACATTTTAGAATTGTAACTGATAATTAATTGAAAAATACAAATTCTGTCATCATTTACTCACCCTAACGTCATTCCAAACCTGTATGACTTTCTTTATTCTGTGGAACACAAAAAGAGATGTTTTGAAGAGCAGTTTTTGTCCATACATTGAATGTCAGTGGCAACCAAAACTATATATATATATTTTTTGTTCTGCATAAGTGTGAAATGCATTATTAGAATTTTCATTTTTGGGTTAACTGTCCCTTTAAACATTCCCACTCCTATTTCATTCTCATTGAAGAGACAACAAATCCTTTATTTTTGTAGCTCACCGCTGAGAACCTAAAACATTTATTATGCCACCAGCTAGTTCAAAACCATCCTTCACTTGATAGGTCGAATGTGTTCGTGCAGTCATTGTATGAACTTGTTCCATGAAGAAGGAGCCAGATCTTCCATATTTCACATGAATCTCACTGGAGACGTTTTTCTGGACATCAGTCTCTCTTCAAGTCAGGCTAACAGCTTAGCATGCAGCTGTGTGCGTGTGTGTGTGTGTGTGTCAGTTCGACAGAACAGAGCGTGGTGTGCTAACCAGAACCACCTGCCTCACGAGCTCGGTTTTCGCCAATCTCTTACTGACCGATTTGACCTTTGACCTCCCCAGGGCCCGCTTCAAACAACGCATGAATGGTCTGTGTGTGTTTTTGTGTGTGAATGTGTCAGTTTGTGTGGAATTGTTCCACAGCTGTTCTTTTGGAGGTAAAATCGACCCCTCGGTTCCAGACTTCAGAGAGACTCCCCTGATGGAACGCTTTTGCAGTGCGTACGCACCCGTGCAGAGCATTGCACAAAATGTTGCCTTCACTTTAGAGAAATCGCTATGAAATGCTGCAGACCAGCTGAAACGGATTGTTGCTCAGAAGAATTACACTTTGTACATCATTTATTTGTTGCTCTGTGTGTGTGTGCATGAATGGGTTTGATTTTTTTATTGTCCCTTCGGATAACATCTGTGTGTTGTATAGATTCGTGTTTCACCTGAACACGCTTTGAAGAAGAATACCTCACTGAAGCTTTTCATGATTCCCCTATCTTTTAACACATCTGTGATGGGTTTATAGAGCATGCTGGGGCGCGCAGTATCACGAACAGTCTCCGGCGGGGGGAGTCGCTCAGTGACAAATCTGTTCAGCCCTTCATCCAACACTGACTAGATCCAGTTCATTTCCTTTTCTAACAGGCATTGGTTTGTGCCACTGTGATTTTGAAGGAAGCTTTTCCGCCGCTGCAGATGGCCCTTTGAGAGCTGTGTCAGAAAGCACAGGCTGAAATTAAGTTACTGTTTATCCCTGCTGAGTGCAGAGAAAGCCTTGCTCAGGGCTTAGGCTTCCAAGAGCGCTTTTGTATTGATTTCACTGATAGTTGCCAACCTGCCCGCTCTTATTTTTATTTATTTACTTTTTTTTTGTCTTATCAGTTACACTTTCTTTCTATGTTTCTCTTTGGCTCTGTCATTTTTGACAATTTTTTGATTAACACAGATAGTTGGTGAAAGTTGTACAACATATATTAGTAAGTACTAAGTATTAGTAAGACATCCAAAGCGACTTACAGTACACTTATTATGGTTCTCGAAACAGCAACTTCAGGTAATGACACTAAATTGCTACATTGTATACAAAACCAACATAACAACTAGTTATTAATGCAGTGATGTCTAAAACTCCTTGTGTACTGGCTGATACCAATATAAGTAGGGATGCACAATATATCGGTTATCAACCAGTATTAGAGTGGTGTTTTTATTTATCCTTGCTCAGGGCTTAGGCTTCCAAGAGCGCTTTTGTATTGATTTCACTGATAGTTGCCAACCTGCCCGCTCTTATTTTTATTTATTTACTTTTTTTTTGTCTTATCAGTTACACTTTCTTTCTATGTTTCTCTTTGGCTCTGTCATTTTTGACAATTTTTTGATTAACACAGATAGTTGGTGAAAGTTGTACAACATATATTAGTAAGTACTAAGTATTAGTAAGACATCCAAAGCGACTTACAGTACACTTATTATGGTTCTCGAAACAGCAACTTCAGGTAATGACACTAAATTGCTACATTGTATACAAAACCAACATAACAACTAGTTATTAATGCAGTGATGTCTAAAACTCCTTGTGTACTGGCTGATACCAATATAAGTAGGGATGCACAATATATCGGTTATCAACCAGTATTAGAGTGGTGTTTTTATTTATTTTTTTATTGTGTTCTTTGTATATTGTATTGCATCTTTTTTTTTATTGTATTGTATTTTTTTATTGATTCTTGATAAGTTTAAAAACATCTTTAAAAACACTAATTTAATAATGTAAGATATTGCAAATCTCAAAATGAATATCGATTTTTCATACTGTATACTATAATGTTGTCATATCTAAATTCATTTGTAGCATTAAAAATATTTTGTTCATTACTGAGGCATAAATACTGTAGAAATGGTCACACTTTATTTTAATGCATCCTTGTTGCAGTGTAATTGCACAAATAAGTACTGAGTAATATTAATTAACAACATGCACTTATAATAAGTTTAGGGTTAGGTTTTGATTTAGTGTTAGTTACTTGTAATTGTGTATGATTTACTGTTATTACTATTGTAAATACATGTACTGTAGCTTGCTATAAGGACACATTAAACTAAAGTGTTACCATAGAAATGTAATATCGACCATTCAGTGGTCATTGAGTATAACAAATAAATAATTATGTGATTATGTATATCATTTAGATACATTTTTTTGCTCTAAATTTCAAACAACATTTTTGCTTACAGGGGTGACTGAAAAGGATGGGGAGGAACAGAGTAAAGACAAAGAAAAAGAAACAGAGACAGAAGGTGAAGGAACAAGTAAAGAAGAACTAAAGAAAGAAAGAGAAGGATTGGAAAAGGAGGAAGTGCAGAAAGAGAAGGCTTGTTGGCGTGTTGGACTGAAGGTGGCCTGGGACATCCACACACCAGGTCTGGCTTTGCCTCTCCAATCTGGAGACTGCTACTATATGACAGGTACACAATCACATTCATCTGTGTCCAGAAACAGTAGACTCAAGTACATGTGTAAAGCGGATTGTACCGTCTCGGTCATGTTGAAATGCATTAGTCCAGGAATTATCTTTCCCAGAGGATATACACATCTACATCCTTTTATTAACATATGTGTGTCTGTTTCCCTAGGATTTTGCTTCCACAGGTTTCTTTATCATGTGTATCAGAGAGGTTAAGAAAACCAAATGTTATTTTATGAAGCGCTGTGACCCCTCTCTGAGAGCACGACTGAGAGACAGAATCAGTAAATCAGACTTTTATTACTGATGGCTACAACAGATGCCCCCCATCTACAACCCCACATACGCACAAACCCTCTCCTCTAAATATCCCTTAAATTGCGTCTGATGACCTTGATAAGGACACTATTTATTTCCCGATTTCTGTGTACAAGCATGACTAATGCTTTCCCCCCTGTGCACACAGTTTTATCATCTCCATTTGGACATTTTCATCTGTTTGGAAGGGCTCGTGGTAGGGCCTCTTTGTTGCTGGCTGCTCTAAACTGAGCATTATTTATACCTACCTAATGGCACTCTTAGTCCTGTGAAGTGACTTTAAGTGAAAAGATAAAGCAATATAAACATAATGGGTCATAATAATGGGTTTCCTGGGCACAGGACAAGGGTAAAAATGTGACTGGGAAACTGGCTTATAAACTGTTAATGACACCATGTCTTCTGGCCAGGGTTGGGCAAGTTACTGTGAAAATGTAATCTGATTACTGATTACTCCTTTTAAAAGTAATCACGTTACTGTTCTGATTACTTTATTTCAATAGTAATTAGTTACATTACTAGTTACGTTACTTTTTTCTCCATGAAATTCATGAAATCCCTGCATACACGCTCCCGATAAATATTTGTTATTAAATCATCAACATTCACAGAACACTGTTATTTTTAACTAAAGCAAGCGGCTGCTGCGTGCATGGTTTGGATGGCAGAATGCCAGCAAAGAGCGCTGCATTTATAATCTCTAAAAGACATCTCAGTTCATCGCAATCTCGCAAATCTCTGTTATAACACAATGAATATATGCATAATTAATCTTTCATAATGTCTACAATTCGTGTGTTATAATGAGAGGATTCGTGAGCACGCACATTTCAGCACTGCATTGCTCAACGCTGCAAACACGTGTTATAGCCTAAATAGAAAGTCTGCATACGCTTGCACCTGTTAATTGTTTATATTTTATATTAGTTCATGTTGCTTTTGTGCAATAGATGAATAACAATTTATTTGTTTTAGATATTTTATGTTTAGATATTTCTATTTTGCGGGAGTCCCGTGAATCATTTTATTCTCCCGCATCCCGCACACACACGAGCGTCTACCCGCCCGCAGCAGCACTCGTCCATCTTGTCCCACTCTGTTGCGTCAGGTCTCGCGGGAGAGCAGGTTTCTAATCCACTGGCACTTGACTCGACAGTGCGTGTGCTATATCCTTTTTACAATCTCTAGATTAGAACACACTGCATTCTGTCAGCAATGTAACGCGGCAGTAACGTATAGAGACCTCGGCTTGTAACTATACTCTAATTACTATTTTGAAAATTATAATGCGTTAAATTACTCCGTTACTAAAAAAGTAATCAAATTACAATAACGCGTTAAGTAATGCGTTACTGCCCAACACTGCTTCTGGCTGAATTAGTCAGATTGTTTTCTGTTGAATTTGTAGGAAGTGACTTCTAAAGTCTTGTGAAGTCTAGATGGCAGTAGAATGTGTTGGGATTTCATCCATTCTCTGAGATGTGAACAAAACCATTCCCTAAAGATCAAGCCTTTATTTGGGTGCTGTAGTGTAGCAACCCACACCTCACATGGAAAGATGGAGGGAAGGAAGGAAGATATAGTGTAGCAGTTCGCATCAGGTGCTTTTCAAATAATATGTGTGGGGATATATAGGAAAGGAAGGAACAAAATAAAATCAGGTACAAAAAGAAGGTGAAGGATGGAAAACCTGTAGTTTAGCAATCCATAACACAAGAACGAAAAGGGAAAAGGATGTAAGAAAAAGCAAAACAGAAAGCAAGGGAACAAAAAAGAAGAATTGAAAAGGAAGGAAAAAAGAAAAGGAAAGGAAAGAAGGAAATAAGAAAAGAAAGGACAAGGTAGGAAAAGAGAAAGGTAGGAATGAAAAGAGAAAAGTAGTAAGGAACGAAAAAGAAGGAAAAGAGAAAAGAGAAAAGGAGGGTTGAAAAGGAACAAAGGAAAGGAAGGGAAAGAGAAAAGGAAGGAAATAAAAAAGGAAGGAAAATGGAGTATTAGGTAAGGGAAGTATTAGGAAGTAAAAATGGTGTGAAAGGAATTTAAAGAGAGAGGGAAAGTAAAGGAAGTATTAGGAAAGAAAAAAGGAATAGGAAAAGAAGAGAATGAAAAAATGAAAAAAAAGGAAGGTAAGTAAAAAAGGAAGGAAAAGGAAACAAGTGGAAATGGGAGAAGGAAAGAAAAAGGAAAGCATGCAAGGAAGAAAGAAAGAGTGGGAGAGGAAGGAAGGTGTACAGAAAATAACTTACAGTTATTCAACTCCACATTCCCATGATCCTCTAACACTGTCACATCTCTTCCCCTCCATCTGCTGATGTCTCGGACTCCTGTGTGCAAATCTAATCAGTGGATTCTCAAAAATGGAATTTGGTGCTGGTTAGCGGAGAACAAATTGTTGGACTGACACCGGGCCCAGCTGGTAATAAGATTTCCTGTGCTGAATGCTTCAGGGACGGGACATACCTAGGGAGAGGTTTTGACCCAATGCATTTAAAAACCTGCTTTTAACTCGAGCACAGCAGCCCCTCGATGATGAGGGAATAATGATACATATTTATTAGGGGAATTTGGTGTGGCCCATGATTCACGCTGAGGTTGTGACAGAGCCCAGGTTGACAGAAGCAGAGTATTATTAGATGCCAAGTGTCTTTAAAGACAATGTAATGTGACAGAAAAAAAATAATAGCATACAGAGGAAATGAAACAGACATTACTCTTGTGCTCACTCCAGTTTATGCTGCAGTACATCAGAGAGTGCAGCAAATCCATTGATTTCAATGGGACAAATCAAAGTCCCTTTCTAGCAAAGTTAGTTCACATAATGGCTATAATTGCAACACCTCAGGCAGCTATATAAATATACATATACATATATATTGTAACGGGGTGAAGAGTCACACGACAAGTAATCTCAATCAATACCCCGGAGGGTGGATTTATTGGGGTGATGGGTGATAGGGAGAAAGGTCCAGGTAGGTGCTCCGGTGCCGTGAGTGCTCTCTTCCGTCTTCCCAGTGCAGAGGGTCCGTGCAGTGCTCCTGTGGGGCTGGTCGGTCACATGCTGCTTTCTGTGGGAAAAATGAGAGGGCGAGTTAGTGCTCAGTCTCATGGAGGAATCTCCTAGATGGCAGGGCTTGCGTGGCTTATGTAGCCACCACCTGATGAGGTGCAGCTGTGACCGATCAGCCTGTGATGATGATGGCCAGGTGCTCCTCGCTTGTTTCCAGGGCGACGCTGATGAAGCTTCGGGACGCTCGTCACACTCCCCCCCCAAGCGTCGTCCTGGTCCTGTTAACGATATGAGTATAAACTCTGAATAACCAAGACAAATCCTCCCTTCCTAGGGTCCTAATAATATTGAAGTATGTTTCTTCTGTTGTCTGTGTGTGTGGCTGTTGGTATGTGATTATATCTATAGATGATCTGAATCGGACACATCAGCACTGTGTACTGGCTGGTGACACGGCTAGATTTAGCTCCACTCACAGAGTCGTACAGGTGAGCGTCGTCTCTCCAATTGTCCTGATCAGACCTCTTACTTCATCATCCTTCATGTTAAATCCTCAACCAGTATCTCGCTATTTCTGGCTTATATGTAAATATCACACTATTAGTTTTCATGTTCCTTTAGTGTTGTACAGGAACGCTGGACTACATACAGAAACGCTGCTCAGAGGCCTTGAAGAATTTACACACCGACCCTGAGAAGAACACCAAGAGCCTGAAGTCCCTCCTCCCCTCCACTCTCCAGCACATTGAGGACATCCACAACGAGGTGTGTATTTGAACGAGAACGTGGGTGTGTTTGAAGCATTGTAAAATGTGTACTCATAACACCAAATCCCAAACGCCTGTCTCAGGCCATAACAGATGAGGTTGTTGGAGGTTTTTTTAAAGGTTGTAATTGGCATTAATTTTTCAAACCCCAAACAATAGCTCTTTCAGAGGGCCTAACTATCAGTGCGGCCTTGTGTAGGTTTCTGTTGAACCCCAACTCACCTGGATTACCACTCAGCACCTTAAAACACCCCATCAAAATATAAAGTGCTGTCTATATATATATATATATATGCACCCGTGCCCTGCGGCAGCTTCCCCGGAGGTTACTGACCTCAACACTCTGACCTGATTGAGGCTATTTAGTTGAAACTGCCCACGAGGGCCTGTGTGTGTTCTTAAATGATGTATTATTATATTATTTATTATTAATAATCGTTTTTATCCCAGCATGCTGTTCTGGCAGAGCTCAGCGTCTAGCTTTTGTTTAGTGTGGTGGACTACATGGAGTTTGTGGTAAGCAGCTGCTGATCTGCAGTGTGTAGGATTTATGGAGTGTGTTAGTCCATTGGATGTTGATAAAGGCGAATGTTTACCTCTGTGTTTAGGGTCTGTACTGGTATATGGAGTTTCAGGAGAGGTTGTTATTAAAGATATCTTTTTTGCTCTCTGTATCTCTCACTCCCAAGATTTTGGGCCTGCAGGGTCTTTTGAAAAGGTGTTGAATTGAGGGCTATTTTGCCTAAAAATTAAAATTCTGTCAACATTTGTTTACCCTTATGTTGCATGACTTATTTTATTTTGTGGAAAACAAAACAAAAAAAAATGTCCAACCTAGTCTTTTCTATACAATTAATGTAGAAAGTGCCAGGGTCTGTGAACAGCACAGTGAAAGTGGTCCATATGACTTGTGTAGGTCTTTCGCAAAATAACATTTTCACTACATGATTATCATAACCAAAATGATAAGCAAAAACAATAATATTCAGATATCTGTAGAAAAAAGAGTCAAATTTATCTTTAACTTTTTGCATAATGGATCATACTCAAAATACCAATGTAGGGAGGAAGAGAGAGCGTAACTAACCATTAGTTAAACATAAGGTGTAACCAACTGTTCAAAAAGAACTTACTGTTTATTGGCACTTCCAAAAAATTAATCTAAGCAACTCTAGCACTAGCAAGCTCAATTTGTTTTAGGTGAGGGTAGAGTGTGTCGCTTTTGTTTGTCTTCTCTGACATGATTTTGTGTGACAGTAGTTTGTCTTGTTTTTCCTTGTCTTCGTCGCCATCTTTTTTCGTTTTATGACAGGTGGCAACCAGCATTAAGGTGCAATCTTGCCACCCACTATGTTGGAATGTCAACCAGTTACTGCTTGATTATTTGCTATATTATCATTTATGCATTATTAACATGAACATTTTTTTTAAAATTTTTTTTATTGTTAGTACTGGTATATTGTGACACCCGTGCTTATGTGCAATCTTCCAAGTCTTCTGAAGCCATGCAGATGATAGTTTTGTGTCAGAATTGTGTTGTTATTTGCTTAAAATCCACTGTTCACCATTGCTTTTGAGTCTAATTTGCTTATACATATTCAAGTTTTACATCAGTAATCAGATTTCCATCAATGTATTTTTATGCAAACTTGTTCAACCGATCAGAACGCACCAGTTTTGCATAAGCACTATAGAAATGTTTGTATTCCCTTATATACAGTAGGTGGGTTTCCAGTCATGTAATTTTTTTGTGAAATTGAATCAAAAATGTGAAACGGAAACTTACAGATGCAAATGGAATCACTAAAATGCACATAAAAAAACATGCATAAACTACAACACATTTATGGAATAAATTCCTAGATGTGCATCAAAAAAGCTATGCTTCAAGAAGTTGTGTCACTGAATACTTAGGTTATATTTTCTTATATTTTGCATCCCTACAATTGTCTTTGTCTGAGCTGACGTGCACACACATATATATGGCTCTTTATTTATATGACCAGGTGTGCATATGTGGGTTGACAGAGCAAACAGCACAGACTGGCCTCTATTGATTTTAGTCACAGCAGTGCTGGACTCGAGGGTGATCTGATGAAATTGATTGGTAGTCCTAAGAGTGAGCCTTGAGTGAAAGATGTCCAGAAATCTTAACCCATTTGATCTATAAGATGCCGCAGTACTATATCTGCAGGAAACCAGTACCAGTAGCATAGCTGACTTGTAGTTTTCGCCACGTTCAGCTGGAGATATAGGCAGACAGACTCTCCACCTGTCACTGAAAGCCTTTTGTTTCTGTCTGTTTCCTCTCTCTCTTTTTCTCCCTCCAGCATATGCAGGTGGCATTTAGTCTCAGTACCTCACAGCAGCAGACGGCTTGGCCCTAAATGCCAGTCGCATAGTTTCCAGCTCTGTGCCTGTTGCAAGCCTGCACTGTGGGAAAATGGCCTCCATGTTGGCTCAAAGCTCTCTGCGCTGTGTGGGCTTTCAACGCAGAAGGACAGACAGACAATCAGCACGGGGGGGAAGGACAGACACAAAAGCGGCTGCTAGCATTTGTAGCCTCCGGCGTCCGTAGAGAGGCTGTCAGCGGTCGGCATTGGTTTGAAGTGATTGTAGGTTTGAACCAACACAAAGTGTAGCATTTGTTTGAAGACGGCCATATGTGAAAGTGAACCCTGGGTGTCTGATCTCAGTCCAACTAAAGATGATCCTGTTCAAGCCAGTTTGAATGCTTATAAACTGATAGCCAACACAGGTATTTATGAAGCAGAATAAGAGAGTCAGGTGTGCGGTTTTATGGTCCGTCAGATAAATGACCTGTCCACACCAGTTTTTCAGTGCAACAGGAGTTAAAAACAAAATACACACACACATTACATTCTACTCTTAATATTAAACATACTACTGAGGGCTCAAAAATAAATAGGCAATAAGAATTTTTTCTGCCATCCAGTTGGGCTGCTACTATTTTTACTTGCCCTGCCAATGTTTTCACTGGCTTCACCATAAAAGAATGGTCAGTTTTTATTTTTACAAATATTTTTTTATTTAATATTTGCTAGAAATTTGTATATATATATATATATATATATATTTATTTATTTATTTATTATTAATAAATTAAAATGTACTTTTTACATTTTACAATTTTACATTTTATCTTATCTTTTTTTGAACTATCATGTAAGAAATGAATATAGGTATATTCTATATATTAGACTTAAAACTTTTTTTAAAGAAATGTATAGTTTTATTTAGCATGAAATGATAGAATGTATAGTAATAGTGAAATTTTTGGTAACACTCTACATTACTATTTCAAATAAATCAAACAATCCTTAAAAAATGTATCACAGTTTTTAGGAAAAAAAGTGAAGCACAACTATTTTAAATATTAATAATAATAATTTCATTTCTTGAGCACCCAATAGCACATTAGAATGGTTTCTGAAGCGTCATGTGAGACTGAAGACTGGAGTAATGGCTGCTAAAAATTCAGCATTGGCATAACATATTAAAATATAATGCAATTATTCTAAATGATTATATTTCACAAAATTACTGGTTTTCCTGTATTTTTGACCCCAGACTTTTAAATGGTATTGTGTAAATATATTTTTAGCTATAATGTAACTCCATAAATTCATAAACAAACCTTTTCATAAACACAATATCTGGCAATATTGTGTCTAAAATATGTTACTCAATATTAATTTCTTGCTGATTGAACAGTTTTATAGAAACAATTACAACCATGCTGATATTTAACAACACATTCAAAAAGAAAGAAAAAATTTAAAATTTGTGTACTTTCATGTCATTCAGTTGCTCCAGACCAAAACAGGCAACTGTACAGTGAAATCCAGACATAGACATAGTGGATGTTCGAGTTGCTGTTCTATTGTTGTGTTTTCGGCATGTTGTTTAGTTGTAACTCTTAGCTAAGGCGCAGAGGGGCCTGTTGTTTGGAGAAGGAATTTTGGAGCAGTGCTTTGTTCAACTCTTGTGTGAGGGCAAATGTGAGGTGCTTACATTTACATGTGGGGCAGACACAGATACACACATGCACGGGGCTACATTAAGCATTCTTAGGAGGGTTAACCCATCACTTCAAAAGAGTCAAAGATGGGAGATTCCCAGAGGAGAAAGACTTGAGAGCCTGTAGTGGATTCTGGTGCTCCCTGTTGAGAGAGAAAGTGAGAGATTGATGGGATGAAGAATGAAAGCAATGAAGTAAAGAATGAAAAAAAGCCGACTGAGGAGGAGAGGGAAGAGAAAAGTGTGTGTAGGTGCGATGTTTTTGGCGTATGTGATAAATCTTTACGTCTCTCCTGGGTGTTACGTAGCAGCATACATAAACAAAGGAAACGAAACAACAAACAGGAAAACAGGAAATGCAGATGTCATCATCCCCCTTCCTATTGTGATGACACCGTTTTGATCAGCGACGCACAAAAAATGCAAAGATGTCGAGTACAAAGCAAGCAGTTTGTTTATGTGTGTGGTTAGTTACAGAGGTGTGTGTGATTTGTTCTGCATCCATCGTCCTCTAGGAGTGTGTGTGTGGCTACCTGCTTTCCCTCGTTAGCGTGACCTTAACGTGGGTGTTTAGTTTTGAAAATCACTCCCACCACCCCATATAAATGTTCTTCCCCCTTCTCCCCACCTCACTGACTCGGGTGACTAGCACACAGTTCCCTCCGCTGCTCTGTTCTGCTGCTAAATTGGCCACTGATGGATGGATAGAGTTTGATAAATGGATGGATGTCTGGATTGCTGTTGTTTTAGACCGTGCTGTTATAATACACTACACGTAGGCCAGAGTGATGGATAGTGAAGAATGACTCGAGCACAAAACGTTTTTGTCCAACAACCACATTTTACAGACTATCAAACACACTTGACTGCTGTTTTTTCAGTTGTTGTGAAGTAGATGTCAGCTGCATGCTTTTTGGTTTGACCTCTTGTTCAAGGACTGGACTTCATCGGCCTAGT